AAGTCTCATACCATGTTTATTTCGTTTTCTCCTTCATTTATATGTTTAAGATCTTCTTCAATTCTAATCCACGTGAGACTACGTAGGCATCCTCGGTAATAATCATATTATTACCTTTTATCTTATTAAGGAAAAGAAAAAGATCTTTTCCCCATATTATCCTTACATTTTGTATGATTATTAATATCCTATATTTACTCTTCTCTTAGTACAGAAGAATTTATTATTAGTGCAATAGTTACGCTATTACATTTACATTGACATTTTTATAGTATATCACAAAAAAGAAAAAAAGAAAACAAAATATAAAAAATATTACTGAACATAATATTAATAGTTTTCAATCTATTGAAAAAAGTGAAATATTGTTTGTTTGTTAATTTGAATATTTGTTATGAATTTTTTATTATTATAACATTTTTAGATATATTCATCAACATCAACATTTAATAAAATTAGGACTTCGATATTTCCCTCCCATACTATAGTAGGAACAATTTCAAAGAATGATGGATATCAAATCTTTTTACATTTTTAACGGGTTATGTGAATTTTGTGCGGGTGAATTTTCTTATCAAAGATTTCAATTTATTCATCTTTAGAATGAGGTAACTTTTTCCCACTCTTTAATCTCAACCCACTAGAGCAATAAGAGTAATTTAAAATATTTATAAATGAGGAAGAGTGAAAGAAACTAAATATTAATTAATTTATGGTGATGATTGAATTATTAGTAAAGTTGGTTGATATAAGATTTCAATTAGAGTTTAAATTCCATTAGGCTTACTTTATTAAAAGAAATATTAATTAAAAGAGAGAGGGAATAGAATTATGTAAATTATATATGGGGTTAAAAAAAGGTGGAATTGCATGATTTATAATAAAGCAAGGAAGAAATGATAAACATCATCATCATTTTGAACTTCTTTTTGAAGTATTACTCAAATGATTGGTATTCTCACTAATCTCAACATTTTTTATTCTTTTATTTCTTTCTAATTCCAAAGGTATATTTTACCACAAAAGAGAAMAATTGAAAAAGGAGTACACTACTTTTAAAAAATAAATAAAATAAAATAAAGGCAATTGATTGAGGGTAAAAAATTTAAACCATAAAACATTATTATCCTTTTCTGCACTAACTAAGTCTCTTGAGAAAGCTTTAATCATATTTTTGAATTTTTGATATTGATTCAAATAAAACATGTTTTTGTTAATATGTTGACTTAATATACTGATTAGAGTAACAAGTGATAATTTAATAAGACATGACACACGAGAGTAAATTAACCTATTAAAGAAAGAAAGAGAGAAAAAAAAACGACAGAAAACTAAAATTTCAAATATATTCCTATCAATCCGTCCCTTTTAAATATTTGATCCATCCACCTACTTTCTAACTTACTCATCAAGTCACATTTACTATCACTCTTAAGTTTAAAGGGCGCACTACTTTAACGTTTAATCAATAGTGTTAACGGTAATAATTTATGAGAGAATATAATCAAAGCATAAAAAATATAGTGATGCAATCAGAAACTCTTTTAAATTAATTTATATTTATATAAACACAACAATCAAAGTTTAAGAATTAAAATTGTAAATGAAAATCAAATTAAATTTAAAGTGACACTATACTTAAGAATAAAAGTATAGGTTATAAATGGCAAAAATGAGAGAATTGGGATGATGATGAAGAAGAAGAAAAGAGAAGGTGGTGTAAAATCCCCAAAATGGGTCAGCCATGCCATGCAGATTAGAATGAATTATTGGTCAAGATCCCAAAATGAAAAAGAGAGACAGGGAGCATATTAGGGAAAAGTTTATAAACAAAAGATCATTAAAATTAAGCTTCACAAGTTTTTGGGGCCCCTCTTCCACTAAACCCATGTTCATTTTTGCACATTTTAAAACTAAAAAGAATAAGCCAATATTTGTACATTATTTGATCAAACTTACTCATATATCAAGATGAAAAATCACTCAACTAAATTAAGACTTTGATTCTACTGAATGCCCTTTTTTGACTGCAAAAGGAAGAATTAAATTTGGTCACCAATGTCCCATCTAACAATTCCTCCTTTTTAATTTAATTTCATTTACTATCTTTATTTGATACACAAATCAAGGAATATTGGGGAAAATGCTCATGAACTTTCACATCAATTTTTTTTTTTTTCTTTTAAGCCTTTTAAATTGCAGGGAATGTTTGGTGGGCAAGAATGAGAGTGTCAATAAGAAGCTTGTTAAAATTTATGTTTATGATTACATCTATATCCTATCTAACAAATATTTAATCATATAATTTGTGAYATCCTAAGCCTAAGCCTAAGATTCAGAATTTGCTCTCATTGTCCCTATATTTCCTGCATCCCCGGCAASCTGGCTGCACCATCGTTTATCTGAGCTACGAGCGAAGACTATCTCCCTACAGGCCAATGCGAGTTTTTTTAGGATGCGCTTAGTCCTCACTCACATGCTTCCTAGTAGATCAACTTGGAGGTCATCCAATTAAGATTGCTCTAAACCAAGCACGCTTAACTTTAAAGTTCTTATGATTGAATCATTGAACATGAAAGTGCACCTAAAGGTATAAGTAGTGATATCAATTTCTTTAACAATTTCTTAACTGTGATCTCAGGATTTATCTCATTCGAATGTGGTATCAGTTTCAAAAAGTTCACCTAAAGGTAGTGAACATGAAAGTGCATCTAAAGGTATAGGATCCGCTTAAGATATGTTGAACTGTTTTTTTTTTTCATTTCTATTTTCTTTTGTCGTCTTACGTAATATTTTGGAATTGGTTAAATGATGGCATTGTTAAAATTTATGTTTAACGCAATTCCTATCACCAATTTTAACAAAAAAAAAAGTCATATTATTGATGCGAAGAAAAGATTTACTCCCTTTTAATTCTAGATTAGTTCTATAACAACCACAAATTATAAAATGATTATCAAATTAGTAAAAAAAAAAACCATAATCTTGCCAATCACACTTTATAAAATATAGGTTCAAAGATTTGGGCATCATGGAATTGTGCCTAATTTTCTTTAAGAAGATTCTAAATTGAAGTCATTGTCTAAAATTATATGTGCCCACTTGCAAATTGGGCATTGAGTAGAAATGAGTAATCTAAGTAAGAAGATGACTTCCATTTTAATCTAAAACTAAAACCCCCCTTTGCTTTGACTTGATTGTGACAAGGGCTTTTAAACAAAGATATGTATTAAACACTTTGTATTCTTTTGGTGGTATCAATATCCAATTGGAATATATATATATATATATTTATACTTTTGAGATGAAACTGTGTATAAACTAAGCAAAAAAGAAGAGAGAAAAAAAAAGATCCATCTAAAAGTTGCATTTCTATACCACTTTGTTTTTCAACCATTAGTTATGAATTCAGAAATTTCTATGACTAAACTAAAGCTTATAATAATTTAGAATATAAATTACAACAATGTTCATTTTTATAAAAATTTTGCCATCCAGTAATGATTTAAAGGCTTAAATATTATTTTGATCGCTCTATTTTTAGCTTTGGCTCATTTTAATTTAGTATTTTCAAAAAGTTCATTTCGATCGTTGTACTTTCAGCTCTGTTTTTGTACCTACAAAAAGCGGTTGTGTAACTATCATAGTTGGTTTAGTGGTTAATAAAATAATTAGGTGTTTAGAGAGAAATGATTTCAAACCATGATGACCACCTACCAACGATTTAATATCGAACTAGTTAGGACCAGTTGGTTGTCTTGTGAGATTAATAATTTTCAATTCAGTCTTCTGGATTAGATATAACTCGAAAATTTGAGGACTAAACTTATATTTTAACTTAATTTTGTTTTTATAAATTAAAAAGTTCATGAACCTATTTTTTCTTTCCTAATTCGTGTTTGATATATCGTTTTAGAAAGATCGAAAATGATAAACAATAATCGAGTTTGTTCGTTCTTTTTAACAGTAAGAAGATACATAAAATACTTCTACAAAGGATTCTCAAAAAATTATGAAAGAAAAAAGGTTATCAAATTTAATCTTAGATTAAAACTTAAATTAGAGTAAAACTAAATTATAAACTATTCATAAAACAACCATCCAAAATTAAGTTACAAAAGAATACCTAGATCTAGTCATAAAATTGAGTAGGTAAAAAGCCTCCTATGACCCACCTATAAAACATACAAAATTAACAATGAGAAGAATGGGTACCTACCAAAATAATCTTATCTCACCACAAGAATATTCACACCTATCTACCAATGGGGCGTTTAGGGCACGAATTTGACTTCTCCAACTCATATTTGATGGGAAGTTAATAAACTAGAAACTAATGTATTTGAATAGGCCTAAGCTCAACCCACACCAAACATGCTTCCTAAGTCCACTGTTCAAAACGTCAACACATGGTTTTTCAAAATTCGAATTTTTAAAACATGCACCATGAATAGAGATAGTCACGGGACGAGGTATGGATGGAGAAGGCTTTCCCGTCCCAGTCTCTACCTCCCATTTAATTCCCCATCCTCACATTTTAGTATATGTATGTACAAGAATAATAGGATTGTTTTAGTACATACGTGTATGTATATATATTAAAAAAAATAGTGAGGTGGGGGAGAATAGGAAATTTCCCGTCCCCATTTAGGTGACGGAAAAAAAGATTCCCCTATCCTTGCTCCGTGGTAAATCTAAATGAGGATTCGCTGCTCTGTTTAGGTAAGTTTCCGTGAAAGAAATAGACATTCCTTACTCCGAACACAATCTTCTTAAAACACTTCTTAAACTCTCCCCTCAAACTCCAAGCTTAAAATATCGAACCCACGCGTCAAACGCTCCCTCCCAACATGGAGGGGAATTGTTTTCCTCAATTTTATATATTTAGCATACCAACACACAAACTTTGAATGAACGAATGAATGGGGACTTTAGAAAACAGAAAAAAAAGAAACCGAAACACAGATAACAATTCACAAGTACACTCTCTCTCTCTCTCTCTCTCTCTCTTTCTCTCTCTCTCTCTCTCTCCACACACAAATATCTCCATTTCTCTCTCACTCCCCCTCCTCAAGAACATCCAAATATCTGACACTCCCCATTTTCTTGCGCTTTCAACTCAATTCATCCCCAAGTTTCCCAAATCTATACAGAAACAGAGGTGTTCTTGTCTTGGGTTTTCTTGTAGGGATTCATTTCTATCTACTTTTTGTTCTACTTTTCTCGAAACTGCCAAAAATTTGGTTCATTTCACTTCCATTCGAGAAGAAAGTGGGCTGCACTGGACGACAGTTAAAACCCAAAAAAGCACTGCCAAAGCCTCGGATTTTCATGCTCTCTTTTTAATTTAATTTATAAACATTCTTCTGTAACCTACCTTCTCAAGCAAAGCTGTAACTCGTAACTGAAACCCCCCCACTCGAAAATGTCCCTCTTTGCAAGTTTAATCCCAGACGCCAACTAAAACCCAATTTCCAGATTCTCTATAATTTCTTTTTCTCTCTCTCTCTCAGATCGAAATGGCGCCTGTGAAGCAAACAGAGGAAGCCATAGCCTTGGACCACGAAAACAGAGAGGAACAGAGTGAAGAAGACGACAGATCCTTGGTGGGGTTCAAGAGCTTGCTCTGGCATGGCGGCTCTGTTTATGATGCCTGGTTCAGCTGCGCCTCAAATCAGGCACTGATTAAACAAACCCACAACTTCAATTTTAATGGGTCTATTGGGGATTTTAGTTACAACATCAGAACTTTTTTTTTTTGCAGGTTGCCCAAGTTCTGCTTACTCTGCCCTACTCTTTCTCTCAACTGGGGATGCTTTCAGGGATTATTCTGCAGATTTTCTATGGGATTCTTGGGAGCTGGACGGCCTATTTGATCAGTGTTTTGTATGTTGAGTATAGAGGCAGGAAGGAGAAGGAGAATGTTAGCTTCAAGAACCATGTCATCCAGGTCAAAAAAACAGAGCAATTTTGTGTTCTTTTTTGTGTTTTGTTTTTATGAGGACCCAAATTCTTGATTCATTTGATGGAAATGTTTTGGTTACAGTGGTTTGAAGTGCTGGATGGTCTTCTTGGGCCTTATTGGAAAGCGGCTGGATTGGCTTTTAATTGTACTTTCCTCCTCTTTGGCTCTGTCATCCAGCTTATTGCCTGTGCAAGGTCCTCCTTTTTTCTTCTTCTTCTCCAATCTTAGATCTGTTGCAGAAGTTCTGCGATAGAAACAGACCAATAAAAGAAATCTAAGTTGGTAGGAGTTTCTAACTCAAAAATTAACATAGAGAAAACTGGACGTATTTTTAATAGCTAAAAATTTTTAGTGAGATCCCTTCATTGTCAGTATAAACTTATATTATCTAGTGCTTAATCAAGTATTGTACTCGATACAAAGTTGTTCGAGTACAAACATTTTACTCTTATACTAATTTGATAGATTATTGCTCTCTGTTCTTAGTATTGTAGATGGGGTATGAAAATTTGAACTTCCAATTTTAAGAAAATGAAGGTATGACGTCGGCCTAATTCTGTATTATGTGGGTTTGTTGCAGTAATATATATTACATAAATGACAAATTAGACAAGAGGACATGGACTTACATATTTGGGGCTTGTTGTGCCACTACTGTCTTCATCCCTTCTTTTCACAACTACAGAATTTGGTCATTTCTTGGCCTCGGAATGACCACCTACACTGCCTGGTATTTGACAGTCGCAGCAGTTGCTCACGGCCAGGTTATTCAAACAAAACTCTCCGAATTTAATCATTTATTCATATTCTTAACTACGAATATAAAAATCAGTGCAAGTCCATAAACTAGTTGAAAAAACAATCTTAAATGCAGAAGCTTAACTCAATAGACTTATTCATATTCTTAACACGGCGTTTTCTTCTTTTAGGTTGAGGGTGTCAAACATTCTGCCCCGAGCGAGTTGGTTTTGTATTTCACTGGCGCCACCAATATTCTTTACACATTTGGAGGCCATGCCGTCACTGTGTAAGTTTCGTTGTCGTCGTCGTCATTGTTGTCATTRCTGTCAATGCTGTCAATGTTGTTGTCTATTTGTCAAATTATGTTGTCATCTTCCTCTATTTGTTAGTTGAGTTTGTTTTTGTTTTAAAGGGAAATCATGCATGCCATGTGGAAGCCTCAGAAGTTTAAGTACATATATCTTCTAGCCACCATTTATGTATTTACTCTAACCCTACCGTCGGCCGCCGCCGTCTACTGGGCGTTCGGCGACCAACTTCTCACCCATTCTAATGCCTTCTCCCTCCTTCCCCGCTCTCGGTGGCGCGATGCAGGCGTCATTCTCATGCTCATTCATCAGGTAAATTATTATAAGCCTAGATAGCAAACTTTGTTACGTGTCGCTAAACTTTTAAAGTTACGGCTATCTATTTTGTGTATTTTAAAATGTTTAATAGGTCTATATTGTTAATTGGAAGTTGTATTTATCTAGTTCATGTATACTTAAAAAAATTTAGATACATTCTAGAGGTTTAGGCATTACATTTATATAAGTGATGTAAATGTTAAACTAATGAAACTATAGGACAGCCTATTGATTAGAACTTTTTAAGACTAGAATAGGATATGAACATATGTATCCAGACAAAAACTCCAAAAGTTTATAAAGCTACCTGAACAAGAATTAAATAGATACCCCGTTTAGAAGCTTTTTAAATATAGAAATTAAGGCTTTGCTAACATTTTGTTTTTCGTTTTCTGTTTTTAAAATCACTCATTATTTTTTTAGCATGTTTTTTATTTTATTTAAAAACATATTTGAATTTTTAACCCAATTTCAAAAATAAAAATAAGTTTTTCAAAACTATTTTTTTAGTTTTCAAAATTTAGCTTATATTTTAGAAATGTTTTTAAAAAGTTATAACAGGATAAAGAAACAAAATAGTATAGAAGATAGAGTTTTTATGCTTAATTTTTAAAAACATAAAACAAAAATAAAATGATTATTCAACCTAACCTAAATAAAATAACTCTAAAATTTCAAATACTTCAAATATTTATTTTAAAATAGAGAGAAGTGAGTTTTTTTTTTTCCTTCTTATTTAAAAATAACAATGATCAAAACTCTAGTCAGTAGGTAAGTATTAAAAGTTGGGCTTTATAATTTAACCGTATATTTCTTACCTTTCTCTAGAAATCTATATTTTTTATTTTTTATTTTTAATTTGGAATGATACATGGAAGGTTGAAGCTATATTTGATGGAAATACTTAACTGTGATAAATAAATTTCACGGTTGATCATTTTTTCAAAATAAAAAAAAATGTACATGTAAAAATTTTGAATGATGGGCAACAAAAGATATATGGTAATCGATTAGTATTAAATATGGTCAATGTTTGATAAGTTATGTTATTGGCAGTTCATAACATTTGGGTTTGCATGTACGCCGTTGTACTTCGTGTGGGAGAAAGTGATCGGAATGCACGACACAAAGAGCTTATGTTTAAGGGCATTGGTCCGGTTGCCGGTGGTGATTCCGATATGGTTTTTAGCCATTATATTCCCTTTCTTTGGTCCTATCAACTCTGCCGTTGGAGCCCTTCTCGTCAGCTTCACTGTTTATATTATTCCTGCATTGGCTCATATCCTCACTTATCGATCTGCTTCCGCTCGACAGGTAACAATATTTCAAGGCTCATTTGATAACGTTTTTGTTTTTATTTCTTGTTTCTCCTTTTCAATTATTTAGAAATATAAACATTTGATAAACAGTAGATATTTAGCAAACATACTAAATGCAATTTTATTTTCTTAAACTGCACCATGAAATCAAAATTAAACTAGATGATCGAGACTAAATTCAGTAATTTAGCCCATGGAAACAGTTTCAATCTCTATCAAACTCAAGAGAGCTTTAATTCTAGCCAGATACAGTTTCAAAGTGCTAAAAGAACCAAACTTTTAACCCAACATAGAAACTCTTCAACGCAACACAAGAAACTTAATATTACGATAGATCTTTTACTCTATTCCTACGGTAGTATGATAATGTTCGTTTTGAATCCAAGCTCGCATGGGTTTATTTTATATCTCATTTAAAAAACTCTATCAATAAAGTGTTGTCTTTATTTATATACTCATGATTTTCTTTTCCATCCTGCAACATTATTTGTCTTCTCAACTAAATTCATATAGTTACTATTTCCATTACAATTTCCCTGACAAAAATAGCAACATCTTTATGAGTAGATAAACGCGTATATTTTGTGTGTTTTAGAATGCGTCGGAGAAACCTCCAATGGTGGTGGCAGGGAGCTGGACGGCTATGTACGTGGTGAACACATTCATAGTGACGTGGATTCTCGTGGTTGGCTTCGGGTTTGGCGGGTGGGCCAGCATGGCCAATTTCATCAACCAAGTCGATAACTTTGGACTTTTTGCCAAGTGCTACCAGTGCCCTCCCAAAGCGCCTCATCGCTGATCAGTTCCTAAGTTTGTTATGTTTTTTCTTACCATAATCTTTTGTTATTTTTACCTTCTTCAGTCCCTTTGTGATGAATGGCACATTGGTTCTGGAAATCTTATATGTTTGCCTGATCAATATAAGCAAACTCTACATTTTAGGGTTATATATACATATACCATATTTATAGGTTGCTATAGATCTTATGAAATTCTTCTATCTTTGGGTTTCTCTTTCAAGTATATATCTATGTATTGTTAGAATAATGGACTCACATTAGAATAACATTTGGTAAAGATTTATTTTTGGTAATGTGTTTATTAGTTAAGTCAAAGTTCATATTAAATTAATTGTGAGTCCGACTTTAATCATCTTGAAATTTTTATCAATTATCGATCTTAAATTAAATGAATTTTGAGAACAAGGTGATACAATTAACACTTGAATTTTGAGAACAATGTGGTAAGATTAATACTTTCTCACAATTCAATCAACAAAACATTTAAAATTAAGTACACTACGCCACCAACACGAACATAGTTCAACCGTAATTAATATATAAAATAAGAGGTCAAGAAACAAGTGATCTCTTTTCTCCCTACCAGTGGATCCCCAAACATATATTCATCTCCTTCCACCAACTAATTCCATTCTTGAATCTCGTTCCTGTATCGTACATTTTATGATTTTACTATTTAATTTTCTTTTATTTATTGTTTTATTTGTTATAGTTGCTTTTTCTTCAGATGACTATAATATCATAAAATGTATCTTTTTGTCGGTCGAACAAAAAATAATAATAAGTCCACTGCGGAAAAATAAAAATGACCCATTTCTCAAACTTACACAGGATAGACTATTTTACCTGAAATTATTGTAAGAGCAAAGGTATATATGTATAATTTTTTTAACATATGATTCCTTATCTCTTTTGCTTCATATATTGAACTAATTAATACTATGGGTCATAAAATGGTTGTATAGTAAATTTGATTAGGCGAGAGTTTTTTTAAGCCAAAAAAAAAAGAGAAAAAAAAAAGAAAAGAAGATTAAGAGTGAAAATATTATGAAAAATACACTTTAAATAAATGCGTCTTGATTTTTATGTGCAGACACAATCGGTTGATTCATCTATTTTTTATGGTGGTGAAATTTAATAAATTATTTATTAGAAAATGATTTGTTATAAGTTTAAGCAACCATTTCTGAAAACACTACATTAAAAAATAATAATAATAAAATAAAATAAAAAAAATTGATAACAAAAAAAAAAAGGAAAAAAGGGCCCAACCGGGTTCCAATCGGTGACCTCTTGATCTGCAGTCAAATGCTCTACCACTACCATTGAGCTATAGACCCATTTACGTCCAACTGCTTTGCAAAATCCATTGTACTTATTAACTAAGCTGAATAAAATAAAATTCTGAATTGTGCTTCTTATACTTATATTTTTTATATCGTTAAAGTAATTTCAATTGAAAAAATATTTTTTAAAAATAGTAATTTTACTTCTAAAATCATCTCATAAACTTACTTTATACTAAATTAAAAATACATCTCCATAAACTATATACATACATATTGTATATATATATTAATACTAAGATGGATCAATTTTTCCAGTTTGAATCTATTTGCAGGGTTGGTTTGATCATACTCATTTTAACTTTCTAATAAATTTTTTAAAATTGTTTTTTTTTTCCTGAAATCATGTAAAAATTCCAACACTAAATAAAGTTAGTAAATATAATTTTTCAGAAAAAAAAATAGTAATAAATATAGTTCATTTACCCAGGATAAATGGGACAGATACTCAAATTTTTATCATATACAAGAAACGTAACTAATATCTTAATTATTAAGTTTTATACAAATTGGTCAACCTGAACATAGCTCGACTAAATTGTCGTAGACATAACTTAGTGGATAATTTTTTTAGTTCATCAACAATGAGTGACATGAAGATTTGAACCTCTAATTTTACATGATGTTACTTTATATCTTAACCAAATTGTCATATATATAACATCCGTATCTCTCTCTTTATGTGTGGGTAGAGTTTGAATTCTTCACTATCGATAAAAAACGTCCTTTTTCTTTTTGTCAATTTATACTTATTTTATATAATTGATAACCTTCCTATTTATGTCCTTTATTACCACATTCTACCATATAATCAAATCACTATTTAGTTCAATCAATGTAGCAGTAAGAATTGAAGTAATAACATTAACTAAAAGGGGTATTATAATAAAAAAAATTGAGGAATATAGAATTAAACAGACTCAATCATCTCTACTTCCTCATGTAATATTTGAAAAGAAAAAAGAGAACTTAATCATTAAAAATTTTGATTAATAATCTTATTATGAAGTTTGTCAAAAAAAAAAAATTAAAATGATTATGGAAAAATGGCATGACGATCTCTTTCGACTTTTTGAGTGTTTGAGTTAAAGTGGTTATGGTTTTTACCAATGCATGACTTTTCTTACCATATTTGACTTCCGATCACATCATTTCAACCAGATTTCTATCTCATAAATCTATTTTCGCAGAGGCAATTTTGATGTGGTAAAAACACTTCAACTCTTTTATATCTCATCGCTTAAAGTGTGTCAACATGTAACCTTTATTTTTCAACTTGATAAGAAAACAATAGCCAATTGGATCTAAGAACCCTTATGGTTACGCAGACCCCTAGATTACAAATGCTAAAACCCCCAAATCGAGATGATGTCAACCCAAGGAAGAAGTTAGAACGGATTTACCTTGATTATCAATATCAAGAGTGGAGAAAACTTGTTTCTAAACTCAAGATTCGAACCACTCCACAAAATAGCTTGATCAAGGCTACTTGAATGATTCTAACATGCAAATCTAATACTCAAGAATTGCAAAGAAAAACAAGCTCTAGGCTTTTTGAAGCAAAATAGGAACTTTCATTCAATCATCAAAATTTGTATTTCAAACGAAACAAACTAGGCTATTTATAGCCTCCAAAACAACCCTAAAAGTAACCTAAACGCATTTGAAAGGTTGTAACTCCCAATTACATTATGGCCATAACATCCACTAGCTAAAAATGTAACTTAAAACACATAAATGAAATGTTTAAAACTGAAAATATAATAAAAAGAGGTTTAAATCCGAGAATTGAAATCTTGGTCATGAGTTAAACTCCACTTCAACTTCAGCTCCTTTAAATGAACTTAAAGTTCATTTAATGCAACGCCTCCCTTAAGCTCTACTTGGAAGATATTCACTTGAAAAGTTCCATCTCTCTCTTGATCATCCCTAGCCGAGCTCACCAAGTATTGAACATGAGAAAGTAAAGCTTGTTGTAGCTTCTTGGTTCTTGATCTCGTTATGGGTCCTTGAGGCATAACAATGGTGCTTCCTTGGTTCACATCACAACTAAACCGCTCCATTATATTTTAGTCTTCATTTTTATGGGGAAGCTAATGAGACTATTTTGGAACAATTTTAATAGTTAAAGGTTAAAGATAAAACTTTTAAAACAATAAAGATTATCAATGATACGTGTACCACTATTTTACCGCTTATATTGCTTTTTCGTCCTTATTTTAGGAAGAAAAAAAAAGGTTGATGACAGGATACTTTTGAAACAAATTCAAAGTTTGAAAGTGAAAATCAAACGTTTGAGATTTTTTAAATATTATTAACATCTGTCGAGTAATAATTCAAACTTCTTACAGAAAAAAAAAAGAAAAATCTGTGTTTTTCCGCCAATTCCAAAATCATGGTCCTCTAAATTCGTATAGGCAGAATTTTGATGTGACATTGATTATGCAAATACTCTAAAGCAATGGCCACTTCTACGGCTTTTACCTACATTAAATTATTAATTACGTTTTAAATTAATTTATGAAATTAATTACGTTTTATTATTGATAATGTTTTAATGTTATACGTTAACTCCATAAATTAATTTCTTAAAATGTTTTAGGATGTAGCATCAAGGTCGTGCCGAAATATTGCATCGGCACGCTAAAGGGCAAATTATTTCTGAAAATACTCAATAATAAAAATAATATAAAAAAAGAAAGAAGAGGGYCCAACCAAGTTCRAACTAGTGACCTCTTGATCTRATGCTCTACCATTGAGCTATGAACCATTTCTAACCCTTTTCTAGTRTTTGTTTATACTTATCTTTAAATCGTAGTAATTTCAATGGGAAACAATTTTTTTTTAAGAATGATTTTACTTCTAAAATCAACCTAAATTAAATTAATAATTTTCTTAAATATATTACTTACTAAAGTTGAATAAAAAAAATTCTGAATTGTGTTTCTTATACTTATCTTTAAATCGTAGTAATTTCAAAGGGAAATTTTWTTTTAATAATAATTTTACTTCTAAAATCAACCTAAATTCAATTAATAATTTTCCTAAATATATTACTTACTAAAGTTGAATAAAAAAAATTCTGAACTGTGTTTCTTATACTTATCTTCAAATCGTAGTAATTTCAATGGGAAACAATTTTTTTTTTAATAATAATTTTACTTCTAAAATCAACCTAAATTCAATTAATAATWTTCTTAAAAGGTTAAATTAAGAAAAAAATATCCCTAAACTTTGTTTCAATAATATCCCTAAATTTTAAAAAGATCTATTTTTACCCTTAAAACTTTTTAAAACTAATTTCAAAACTACCCTTTTATTAACTGAAATGAAAAGTGATGTAGCATGGATAACTTGTAAAGTCGTGTTGCATGTGATAAAGGTTCTACCTTTCATTTATGTCCCTTAATTTTATGATATGTTCATCATCTAAAAGGTTTCATTTTTATCCCTAGCCATTAAAATTATTGTTTAAGAATCAATCCTTTCATTTCCTTGCTTAAAATGAAGATAAAAATGTGACGTGATAGTGATCTATACAAAGAAAAAAAAAAACTTTTAGCCACATTCAAAATAATGTTATATAATTTCGGGTAGAGAACGAATTTGAGGATTATGGTAATTTTTTTTTTCCTTTCGCGATCAAAAAATAGGGAAACAAAATTTTTGGAGGGAATAAATAGACCACGAAGGACATGCAAAATTTGGAGCCTTCATCGCAAAAATTGATGTCAAGGCATGAATGGATGAGAGGAAGAGACGAACAAAAAAATCAAAGAAATTTAATGCAAAGACCATTGTTTCTTACTTTCTTTATAGATTTATTGCATTTATTTTCCTGGCTTCCATAGACCCACGCTTTCAATTGCCCCACTCTTCCACAAATTCTCTCTCATGAATCATGGACTCATTTCTCTTTAGATTTTTCCAAATATTTGAGTCACAGTGATTGTTATTTTTACCAATACATGACTTTACTCACAATATGTTATTTTTCCTATCTTAACCAAAATTCTGTCTCCTAATTTCTTCTCTTTTCTAACTGAGATAATTTTGAATGGGATTAAAATCCTTTAATTATTTTGCAGCTCGCCATCAAATAAGCCCACATATACCCTTTGTTTTTCAACTAATCGCCACATTCAATTTTCGTCTTTCATTTTGATGGGGAAGTCAATGAGGATGTTTTAGAACAACTTCAAAAGTTAAGGATTATAATGAAACTTTTGAAATGATGAGAGCATAATTAAAATCTATCTTAAAGTTCATGGACATAATTGAAACTTGCCACTAACGCTACATGTATTACTACTATTTTACAAGTTAGCTACCAGAACAATACTTTTTCCTTTTTTTTAGTGTAAAAGTTGTTAGAAAAAATAATTTTGAGAGTTTATAGATATTATTAAAACTTAAAGTATATTACGGATATAAACTTAGTTAAGCGATAATCAGTAGAAAAGGGAAAGACTTTGGAAGGCAAGTTTTGCACTGCTGATTCTACAGTTCTTCCATCCACCTACGCCAAATTCATGTCTTAAGATGGAAAAAGTGAAAAAAATATAAGATTACATTATAAATAAATTGAAAAGAGAGAAACCCTAGAAAGTTGCTTGACTATTCTAAAATCCCAAGAGAAGAATAAGAGAGATTGATATAAATCGCTGTCTAAATAAATGTACTTCCATTCAGCAGCAGCGCAAGCATGGAGACGGGATTTATTCAGATATCATCGAAATACAGGTATGCAAGAAACAATTTTCCTGCGTTTCTTCAAATAAATGTGTGTTTTCTCATTGAATTACTCTTCATGGAGTTGTAGAGTACAATAATCTAATTGATAATGGAAAGAAAATGGTCTAATCGAAGCATTTTTATTAATCTTTCAAATCATAAATTCCACATAAGTTCCATTGCTGAAGACGATTATACGAAATCCAAACCATTTTGATTTTTGAGTGCACCTCGAGCCCCATTTCCAAGGAGAATCCTCTGAATTGAAGATAATTCAGCTACAACTTGGCTAATATCCTTTCTCTCTTTGGGGTGTGTGACAGAACATTTGAGTCCTAGTTGAATAATGGAGACTAGAAACCTGTGGGTATTTTGAGTGTCATTGTTTCTAGTTTCTACAACATTCCATATTCCTTCTGACAAACTCATCAATGCAAAGTTGTGCAGGTCTAACCCTTCTTTGAATATGTCATCAGTTGGTTTTTTCCCCGTTTACATCTCCAGTAGCAAGATTCCATAGCTATACATATCACCATCAGTTGATGCTTTACCACCCATCCCATATTCTGCATGTCATTTGAGAAACTGTGGTTGATGATGCTTGAATGTAACACTTTCAAAATTAGCTATGCAAGTAAATTAATACGATATTTGATTTAGATTCAAAAAAGTGTTTCAGAAAAGAGGATCATCAAATGCTTTGTTTAGTTGATGCCAAAACATTTATATTCTTGAGGGAAAAAGTTTGTGACTACGGTACCTGGGGCGGTATAGCCTATAGAACCTCTTAGTCCAATTGAACTTGTCTGCTCCAAAGATAAATGCTCAGAAGCTTCATGAATAATTCTTGCTAATCCAAAATCTCCTATGTGGGCAGTCATGTCACCATCAAGAAGAATGTTGCTTGGCTTTAGATCACAATGGACAATTTTTATGTGGCATTGATTATGCAAATACTCCAAAGCACTGGCCACCTCTATGGCAATATTTAACCTTTGCATAAGATTCAAACCTTGATGACTTCCATCAACAGGATACAACCAATCTTCTAAGCTCCCATTCACCATGAACTCATAGACCAATGCCATAAAGTCATTACCTTGAAAATCTATACTTGAACACACGGTTAGCGACTTCACAAGATTTCGATGCCTAATATTTCTCAAGGCTTCACATTCAGCCATGAAGCTCTTGAAGGATCCTCGGTATTGAAGGTTGAACACTTTCACTGCAACGACCATCTCATCTGGATCAAGAATTCCTCTATACACTGAACCAAAACCACCTTTGCCGATCAAATTAGAAGGAGCAAATCCATTAGTTGCTTTGAAGAGATCATTATATGATAGTTGCAAACTAGAAGGTTGCAACAAGCTTGGTGGAAGCATGCTTCTTTTTTTCCTCAGCCAAAATAGAGCAGCAAAAGCCAACATTGAGATTAGACCAATAATTGCACCAGCAATTATGACGAATAGTTTTAGCTTAGGAGACAATTTCTTGGGCTGGTTGGATTTGCAGCTGGATAGCTTTAGTTCAGGTATTCCTCCACAAAGTCTTAAGTTCCCTGTGACTGAAAACTTACTTGCATTCTTAAAGACCCCTTGCATAGGTAACTCACCGTCAAAGTTGTTGAATGAGAGATTCAAGTACTCCAAAACCTGGAAGCTCTCAAAATATTCTGGAATTTCGCCAGACAAGTTATTTTGAGACAGGTCAAGAATCTGAATTCCTCTCAAGGAGCTCAAAGACTGGGGAGTGGTTCCTCGAATCATGTTGCCACTTAAGGCTAGAGTCTCTAGGCGTATGCAACTACCTAAACTATTTGGAAGCTCTCCAGATAACTTGTTCTTGGAAATATTCATATAATTAAGGTTTACCAACTTGCTCACTTCCATGGGAATGGGACCAATCAAATGATTTTCATACCAATCAAAAGCAAACAATGATGTAACAAAGACCTCCTTTGGTATGGAACCATTAAGATTATTAAGGGCAAGAGACATCTCTAGCAATTGTTGGCATTGCCCAATACTTGGTGGTATGCTTCCCTCCAAATTATTTTCCCTTAGATTTAATCTTATCAACATGGTTAAATTGCCTATAGAAGGTGGGATAGCCCCTACAAGTCTATTTCCATTAAGAAATAGAGATTGAAGTTTTTGCAGTTTACCTATTGATCCTGGTATTGTACCAGTTAACTGATTTGTCTCCATTCCCAAGGCTTCCAAGTTGATAAGATTTCCAATCTCCCTGGGGATCTTCCCTCGTATTTGATTCCTAGCGATTGTCATTTTAGCGAGCTTTGTGGAGAAGTTGCTTATGTACTCCGGCAAGATTCCTCCAAAGTTGTTGTCACTTATCTGCAAAGTTTCCAAATTGGTGTAGTTAACTAGTGGGGATAGAAAACTCAAGTCATCGTTTGTAAAAACATTATTAGATAAGCCTAAATCTTGGAGAGAGTATAGGTTTGCTAGGACAGGGACTTTTCCCGTAAACTGATTGTTGGAAACCGAAAAAATCGAGAGCTTCGAGGCATTGGAGATCGAGATTGGTATCGGTCCATGCAATTGGTTCGTATGGAGTCTCAACATCTCGACGTTTGGAAGTAGATGTGCCAAGTTTTGGGGAAGACTCCCTTGAAGCTGGTTTACTGGAAAAGAAAGGTTTTTAAGTGAGGTGATATTGTATATGGAAACAGGGACCTGACCACTCAACTTGTTTGCACCAAGGTAAAGAGTATTCAGTCTTCTCAACTGTCCAAAGGATTCAGGAATGCTCCCCTGAAAATTATTGATTGTAATTGTGAATACTTCAAGAGAAGATAGATTGCCAAGAGAAGGTAAAATTTCCCCCACTAGACTATTGTTTGATAAAGAAAGGATCATAAGCTTGGATAACAAACCAAGTTCAGTAGGAAGTTTACCAACCAGGGTGTTGGAACCTAAACTAAGACGTGATAGATTGGAACAACCTGATATGTTTCTTGGTATTTTGCCACTGAAAGAGTTGGATTGGAGGTTTAGAATTTCAAGCCGAAACAAGTGGCCAACTTCTAATGGGATATGACCACTGAAACTGTTGAATCTGAGGTCTAAGACCTTGAGAAAACTCAAGTTTCCAATGTAGGGCGATATGCTGCCAGACAATTGAAGAGATTGGAGCTCTAATCTAGTGACTCTCTCATGCTTCCTTCCACATGTGACACCCCACCATTGACAAAAGTGTAGAGAATCATTCCACGAGGCGACAACCCATTCGGGATCACGAGTTATTTCCGCTCTGAAAGCTAGCAATGCCAGCCTATCGGTCTCGTTTCGTCTTAAAACTGAGCAACTTGCAGTAAGTAGTAGTAGAAAATAAGCTAAAATGAACAAAGGCAATTGGGGTGGATTCTCCATAGAGACCATAAGTTCAGAATATGGAACTAATTAAGTTAGTAGATACCCGATTGCCATTTTGTTTGAAATTGATCACTCCATTATATAGTAGATAATATCTCTTGGTATGATCATGAAATGAAGAATAAATAGATATGCAGATGTGAATGCATTTCTTATGTTTTGGACATCATCCTTCTTTTCAGTCAACTAAGAAAACTATAATTATAATTTATTCATATATGTCAAAGTGATGATGCTAAAGTCAAAAAGGCAACCTAACCCTTGCGACCAAACGGGAATGCATTATTTTATCATTCCATGGATATCTAAGGGCATGTTTGATAGAGAATTTAGATCATATTTCTTGTTTTCAAATTTACTGGAGCAAATAGATTCAATGAATATATGTTTGACATGATTGATCATTATTTTTTTAAAATTGAGATTCAATTTTTATATCTGATACCAAATACATATCTGACAACATGGAATACAACTCCGTTTTCAAATCACTAATCAAACGCATCTTAATTTGTTGTGTTTATCGGGTGTTAACTGATTATTAATGTTTTTGTTTATATTTTTTTTCAAGAAATTCGTGTGACTACGTTTGTTTGCATTATACATACACTTGGAAATGTTATTGAAATTTTAACCGGGAGTTTTAAACAAAGACTTTTGAATACCATGATGCTATTTGAGAATGACATGTTGAGAATGGTAGCCAATTTTTGTAATTTTATTTATTTATTTATTTATTTATTATTATTATTATTATTATTTTGCTTGCTTGCTTGGCTCATGTTGGTTTGGATGTTGAATTTTAGAAGTGGTGTTCTAAACTAGGCCACAAATAGTACAACTACAAACAAATCTATTGTATCTTTTCAAGTTTGTAAATCTAATTTGTATCTTTTCATCTCACACACTGTAAACTGTAAATTTTTTGTTGCATAATCTTTCAATTAAGTAATCCTAGAAGATGTTGGTAAATTTTCCAGCGCTTTTTAGAATGTTACATCATAAATATGGGAAGGCGATTTGAACCTACCGCCTTTAATTATGTTCAAATTAGTCTAAAGTACCCAGCTTTATCGTTAAAATATTATCCTCTTTTATTATATATATGAAAGAGAATAATAAAGGATAAAAAGAGGAAATTTTCCAACATCTTTTCATCACGCACTTTCTTTTCCTCTTTTGAAAGAGGAAATTTTCTTTTCTTGACTTTGCTGTTTTATTCTCTACGGTGCATTTTAGTAAGTTTTTATATATGTTGCATAAACTTTATAATGATATACCATATGGTATTATTTTGTAGATAGCTTATAATGTTATGAAGAATGACGTTGTTAGAATCCGAAATATATTGAAAGATAAAAGATAAACGAACTACATAGCTATCAAGTATTAGAAGTACTTGGACCCTCCCCTCTTGAGATAGCCAAAACCATATTCACTCATTGGATACCTTCATTCTTGTACTCACACTCTATTTATAAGACTCTCCCTAACTACTTGGGACCAATCCTATCAGACATGAAGTTACTAATATGGAGTATATTTTAGGTATATGATGCTATAACTTTTTTTTTTTGAAATCCGTGTGTCCGGACCAGATTAAGGTAACAGGTAGGATATTAAATCCTAGGTAGGTGGCCACCATGATTTGAACTCATTCCCTCTAAATCCTTTACTATATACAAAGGTCCTTATTGATCACTTGAGCTATCACATGATGGTTGAATATATTATATAACTTAATAGTTTAGTACGTACCAATTAAAGTATATTATAAAACTTAAGTATATATCTATCTTCTTTTATACATAAAAATACTTGAAACAGCAAAGTTGAAAATAATATTAGATAAAATTTCAATTTAATCTCTGTAGTTTTGAAAATTTTAATTTGGTCCCTATATAATATAATTTTGTTGAACTTCACACCTCTCCATACACGATCTTTTATTAACTTGACAAGTTGACCTATTTAAACCTGGATAGAATCAAATAAAAACCATTAACTCATTGTCATGTAAAAGTGTGTCAATATAATAACAATAATGGCGATTTGTAAAGCTTGACAAAATCAAATTGAAGCTTTTAAAACTATAGGAACCAAATTAAAACATAATACAAAATCAATACCGTATGAATTCTCCAGTAGAATTCCTATAATTAAGAGGTATTGACGGCCACCACCCAACACTGTAATCGACGTTGCGGGACTTGACTCCAAGAGGGGGAAAATCCTGCCCCATGGGCTCAAACTGGAAAGGAGTATCCCCATTTGGCCACAAACCGGTTGAAATCACTTAATTCAGAAGAAACAATTATTCACTTCTCATCCCAACATCAAACATCAAGGATTTTAGGTGGTGAAATGAGACAGCATCACCATCTTCAGAGTTGCAGTCCAAATTAGAAGATTTTTTGGGTTACAGAATTTACAATTGGATAATACAAAGATCAAACATCATCTTCATCACTTCCACCACCATCTGCTTCCTGACTGGCCAAGTAACTGCTTTCATCAGGAACTGAAACCTTGAATCTGCTCAAACAACAAAACTTTCTTTCAACAATTTTCTCACTACTTTACTCTGACTTCAAATTTTCTAACTTCCATATATTTTCTCTATCTACTCTCTCTCTACTGACCTCTCAAGTACAGATTTTCCCTCCTTGTATTTTTGGTTCTTTTCATGGGCAGTCTCCTGAAAGGAAGAAACCATGGGAATAACTAAGATGTAAGATGCATAGAATAGCTCAACTTTCAAATGTTTGCTCCTGTTCTTACATATTTCCACCCCACTATTGATCCACACCCCACACAGAAGATATCAGCAACCGTATGCATCCCCGTCATCATCAATCTATCTTCTATCTTACCGGAGGAGACGTTTACCCTGAAAAGAAAAAACCCGACCATGAGAACCGAGTCTACGACATGAAGCACTTCTAGAAGTTAAAACAAACAGTTCTACAGAAACTCAAACTCATTGTGTCGTTATCAGAGAGAGAATGTACATCGCCGATTCACTATATGAGCGGGTTAAGGGATTAGTCTAGGTTGTGGAGCTTTGGATTCTTTGAAAAGGAATTTTCAGTAAAATCACTTTTCTAAGTAATTTACATGAACCTCATGAGTTCTGTCATGAAACATAACAACAAACTACTAATTAGTGTATTCAAAGGGGAACCATATCCACCAAGAAAGAAGACCTCAGTTATAGTATGCAACAAATACAAAACATATGATCATTAATGACAGAAGCAGTATTTGCTGCTGACAATGTATTTTTTTCCCTTTTGGCAAAGTATCTTTGAAACAGACCTTTGCAGAATTCAAACCCAGAGAGTGTATTTGGCTTGTATAGCTCAATGTTGAGAAACTCAGCATATATTCAGCATATGAATTTGTTTATCCCATACTTTTTTTTTAATAAGAAATCAAGCTTTCATCGAGAGATGTGAAAAAATATATAAGAGCATACAAAAACACCTCTAGAGAAAGAGGCTTCAAGAATAACACCTAACTGATAATTACAAAAATCCTTAGAAACCGACCCCACGTGGAAGTATTACATCAAATAAGCTCCCAAACATACTCCCTGGATCTATCCACCACTAAAGATTCTATTGTTCTCTCAAGCTAAATACCCCACACAGTAACAAAGAAACAGGCTTGCCACAAAAACTTTCCCCTATCACAAAAGGGGGGACAACACGCCTCATCCATTATCGTGTTTATCCATACTATAAAATTGTTAATCCCATTGCATAAACCCAAGCCTATGAAACTCATATTTTATATTACATGCTGACATTTACAAATCATAAATCTAAGAATCACACACCAAGTTCCACAGACTCAAATTTTTATAATCTATTTTCTTTGTAGAATTCAGAGTAATATCACACAATTTCAAAGTTCCCAACTCCATACTTGATAAACTGAAACAAAAACCACAAGCCAAACATTCTCTTAAGGATTGAGGGAGGGGATGTGTGTGTTAATATGTTCAAACTCCAAATGAGTTGCATTATTCAACCAGTGTCTCCAAAATCAAGAACTTACACCTTATTGAAGAGGTAAGCTTTCCCATGCTTGCAGTGAAAGGACTGAACAGAACAACACAAACAGTACATGGAGTCAGAATGTGGGTTTCAGCATATTGGTGGACACTCAGACAGCATCATGTGCAAGAATAAAAAAACAACTCAATGACTTTGAGTGCATCCAGTCTTGGTTCTTAGACCACCAAAATTTCCTCAGCTAAAAACTTTCTAGCTAGACCTCCTTAGTTTCAAGTTCCCAACTTATAAAATTGAGCAGCAAACAAAATTCAAGCAGTAAAAAAAGAACATTGAAATTTTGAAACAGACCACAAAAACAGTTCTCCAATGGCGGAAGAAAAGGGACCCATACAAGAAATTCAAAGAAAAGTATGATAAAGTGACATGGAACCAGAGAAAACAAAAACAGGTAAAAGAAGAGAAACCTTGGAGATGATATCGTCGTAAAGAGCAAGATGGGTTCCGCAGTACTTGCAACTATAGATCTGCCCCTCCAGATTCACCACGAACAATCTTCCCATAGCTTTATAGCTTAAACTTCCCACAAATTATCTGCAAACAGAACCCAGAAAGTGAAACGGAGAAGGACCGGGATTTATCAGAGCTCCGAAGAAGAAAAAGAAGAAGAAGAAGAATCTGGGGGCCTTTTGAAATTGGAGATTGATACAGAGAAGATAGACGAAACTTGAATGGTATCTTCTGGATCTTCTTTCTGGGTTTCTGTTCTAGGCCTATCCAATCAAATCAAATAACATTTTGTGAAGAAGCCCACCTCTTTTTTCTTCGGATTTGACAAGATTTGAAATTGGAGGTCTTTTTTTTCCTCAAAATCAATTGTGAAGAAAGTTTTTCAAATCAATTGTGAGGATGAGGAGTTGGGTCAAAATCAAAATGGTTCGCTAGATTTTTCATGTAATTTCCTTGTCCCCCTCCAAGGGATGATGCGGATATGCTATCATATTTTTGTAGAGATATAGATAGCGAGAAATTTAGGTAAATGGTTTTTTGTTTTTTTGTTTTTTTTGTTTAAATACTATTTTAGTATCTATCTATACTCTTTTCACTTTTGATTTTATGGCTTGAGTTCATTTTGATAGTGTAGGTTCAATTTTCTTTTTCTTTAATCTATATAATTTCAAAACTTACATTATCTCATTTCTTTGGATTATAGTTTTAGTATTGTTCTTCACTAACTAAAATTCTTGAAATGTAGTTATTATGGGAAGACAAAGCTAGACCCGACAAGCGAACAATATCACAGGTCCAAGGCCTAACCAGGTTTCGACCGATTAGTTCACATGCCTGATTTTCTTGCTCAGCTGATAAACCCAATGATGGGCTGACTCCCATTCTCTTGTACCATTCGGCCCACAATGGTGATCCCTCCAAAGCCCAAAGGGAAGATATGCGACAAAAATCTTACCTATTGCTACACTTCACATTAAACTCGAATTTTGACTAAAATATTGGAGTGTTTGTGGCTAGCACCATATCGATGTGTGATCCTTATATTTTGTAGGTTTGTCGAAACCTTTTATTCTTGAAGATTGGTGCAAATTTGGTGTTGCATCAACGGTAACCGTAAATTTGTATTAAAGCATTTCCATTATATATCAATTTTATATTATACTTTTACAAATAGGGATAATATTTGTCGTTTTTTAAAAGTATAGAATCAAAATCAACCTTTTGAAAATATAATAATTAAAATAAACAAACGTTGAAAGTAAAAAAATTAGGAACTAAAATAAATAAAAAGTTAAAAAATACAAAAACCAAAATAACGCAACATGAAACGTGTGGATAAATCAATAAAGAGAACTTTTATAATGAAAAGAAAAAATCTACTTAGATTATTGATAGAAATCTTGGAGTATGTTTTCAATAAAATATTGTTGTCAATAGATTTTATCAAATTATCAAAGATATTCCGAAAAAAAAAATCAAGAGGCTCATAATAATTTTTTTTTTAAATAATGCGAAAAATGAAATTACAGAGAGAATCTCTCTAATACACGTGCAAAAGTAAAACTGTCTTTTAAAATTCTACATTGCCCAACCTGTGGTAAATTAGACCGCACAGGCAAACAGTTTATGACCCAAATCTTGACCAGATTTAGAGCGTGACTAGATCTAGATCCCAGTCGTTTTATCCTATCAACTCTAGAGTTTTGACATCTATAAATAAATAGAGGAATATCACAATCAAATGTACGTTGAAAAACCTGATTCTCAATATTCGACACATGACACCAGTGTTCAGTGCTATTTATTTTGTAACTCGATGTCCGTTCTCGACTTTATTATTAATAATTAGTGCGAATTTGACAGAGTCGTAAGGAGCCTAAATTCTACATCAACAATAATCATTAATTGAGTGTTTTTTTAGTATAATATATGAGGTAGAAATCGAACTCACAACCTACATGTCAATTAATGTGCTTTGTTGGCTTTGGCTATTAATTAAGTATTTAATGCTTCCTACCTAAGCTATAAATCTTTATTTTTCTCATTTTTTACTTTTGTTTGCATGGGTCCTAAACTAAAATATGTACACCTTGGATATCTAAATTCAAACAATTTATACGAATTTTAGAATAAAAATTATTGAGTATGAAATAAATAATTTTCAGAAGCCCTCCCCCATGAAAATTTTGTCTCACAAATACAAAGCTCTGTGAATGTTAAATACTACACTCAAAAGTCAAAACCACCCTAAAAAAAAGATTGGCAATTTTCATTACAAGTTTGGCCATCAGAAGAAAGAAGAGTTGCTAAGAAATAGAAAATATAATACTACTGTAATGTTTTTATTTTATTTATAATAAATTGGAAAAGAATTAGAAAAAAAAGTAAAATAATAATCATGTTTAGTTTTGTAATGAAATAAATTGTTGAATATTAGAAAACAAATAAAAAAAAAGGAACAAACAAAAAGTACTGCATATCAGAAAGGTTTTAAGTTCCTACTTTTCTTTTAGATTTAATTGGGCCACAATTTGATTGGGCTGCTCGGGGCCCATACTCATCATTTCTGCCACTGCAAAGAGGAAGACTGCCACATATTTTGACAGGATTCAAGTAGGAGTTCTAGCCCAAGGCTCCAAGCCCCCACAACAACTGCATCTGCCATGTAAAAGGCTGTGTTTGAACTTCCGACCTCAAAAGTACTTTTACCACTCATATTCGCGTCACACTACATTTTAATTTTACATTATAAAATCAAACTTTTGTAAAAATTGTTAGAGCTGGAATCAGAGCGTGCCACTTGGACTTCTTACCTCAAAACTTGTGTACTAGCCATAACTCAATTAGGTCAAGGACGAGACGGATCAGGCATAGTCACCTTTGGTTGACCCTAAAAAAGCTTCAAGCATCAACCTACGTACATGGATGCCACCAACGTAAAATTCGTTGAACACCAAGTACGGAGCATTGCATCAATGGCAAGCTCTCTTATAAAACGGGGTATGCACTACGGTGTATATCTATGTAACATAACTAAACTTTGCTCAACAGGTGATTAAGTATAATAAAGTTTCGTAGTATATACGTGGTGCATACCTCAACAGTACAAAGTTTTATTTTCAAGTTATCACTTCAACTTAACTAGACATTCACGTCCAATAGATAGACCTGTCAACCTCGTCTAAAGCCTTACATCAACGAGAACCAAATCAAACATTCATTGTTCTTCTCGGAGAAAAGAAAAAGTTGTACCCATTTGATATTTCATCCTCAATTTCCCATATCTTAATCAAAATTCTTGAACTATTAGATTTGAGTTTGGTTCTACTTTTGAAGTTTTGGTTCTAACGGGAGAGAGAAAGCTATACCCATTTTATATCTAAATCTCATTTTCATAATTGATCGATATTCCTTTTGTGGATGTGAGCCAATCTTCTGCATCTTAACCAAATTTCATGGCTTTTCCTTTATAGAATTGAAGACAGAGTCCTCTTTTCCAACTCTTTATGCTTAGGCTCCACACACCAAACAACAAGAAGAAGAAGGAAAAAGAAAAATAAATACCCATATGATTAGGCTCCACACATCTAACAACGTCAATAGCATTGCTATTGATACTACTTACTCTCGGCTAGTGTTGCGAGGATTTGAAAGTGTTGAGTACCACTACTTGACCGAGCGGCAAATTTTTTAATTCTCTAGTGGTCAAAGCATTAGAATTCCTCGGAAAATTTCTTAATTTATGCTTTATCCCTACGTCCAAAACATGTACATACTTCGAGTCTAAATATCATCAAAACAAACAACATTTAAGTCGTAATTAAGGGTGGATAAAACTTAGTCCACAAAATTTACCAACAAACAATCTCCCCATTTTTCCTTTCAACAAAAATCACATAATTAATTAACCCAACTACCACATGCATGAAGCTCATCTCTCTCTCCCTCCCCTCTCTAATACACCCATAAAGATATACATCTAGGAATCCGACCGAAATTCCTTCCATTGGCATGAGCCTTTTTTTAGATGAAACCAAAAGGACAAATACGAGAATTCGTACCTAAAAGAGATAATGTCATACCAGTACGAAGATGTCCCTAATATGGGTAAGTAAATAAAGGGAATAATGAGGAGGGAAAAGAAGAAGAGGTGTGGGATTGAAGATGGAAATGGAAATGGGTGATTGGGAAAACTGATAAAAAACCCCCATGATCATGCCCACACGTTTCCATGTCAATCCCTTTAATTTGTCCTCTTAAAAGACAGAAAGTGATGGTCATGTGCCTTCCTCCCCACATTTCCATTTTCTCCTCCTCCAACACATTATTATATATATTTATTTATTTTCCATTTCCTCCAAGTTTCCCTTAATCCCAGCATAATTCCCTTTCTAATTCTCGATTTGGTTTGATAATGATTTTGTTTTCGTCTTTTGAAAATATCGTCAGAGTTTCCGATTTCGAGTTGGAGAGGGAAGGTAAAAGGGAAAACCCTAAAAGAAAGAAGCTTTTTCTTTCTAGAAGTAGGGATGGGAACTGTTAAAAAGAATGGAATAACATGATCTGTTTTGAATAGTTTGCCAAAAAGTGGAAAAAGGGGAAATTGACAAAATCAAATAAATAATAATAATAGTATAGTTGAGATTTGTGTTTTGAAAATAAAAAATTTAAAAAAAATTGCTTACTTCTATTTATTATTATTACTATTATTACTATTATTATTATTATTATTACTCTCTTGTCTTGTGAAGAATTGAGTGGCCATGTCTGTCTCCCATTTGCTTCACAGCAAGCAATAAAGTTGATGAGTATAATTCAAAAGAAATAACTATGTTGTGTGTTTCACCTTTTTATTTTTTATTTTTTTAATTTGCAAGTTTTTGTAGAGGGAGAGAAGGGAAAAATGAATTAATGCCACTTTGATTGTCTAATTAATTGAGCTTGGAGGAATCCAACTTTGGTGTAATGCAAAATGGTTGGTGGATATGCAAAAGTGAATAAGTGGGGTTCTTTTATGAATTCATCATCAACTTCTCTTTCCTCCTAAAAAGATCTACTAAATTCATCGAGTTGTTCCAAAGAATCAAAACGGCCAGTTATTAATGGAATTCCTTGTCGGCTCTCTGAGATGTGTATAAGAGACAGGTTCCAAAGAATCAAAACGGCCAGTTATTAATGGAATTCCTTGTCGTCAGTTTTCGGGGTCTCGAAGGGGCGTGGTCCTAGCTCTACCGTATCTTTTGTTTCATTTCTTCTGGAACAATCACAAACACTGAAATTAAGAAATAATTAATTACGAATAATTAAGAATCTCCATTTTTAAATTTCTTCATAAAATGGATTCACGAGCCGAGCGGTAAGGCGGGGGACTGCAAATCCCTTTTTCCCCAATCAAATTCTGAGAGGCTTCATGAAGTGCTTCTTTAGGAGTTAAACTTCCCTAATTGTTCCAGAGCAACTAGAAAGAGTCAATTTTGAAAGAACTTATTGTCAATCTCGTGGAGGGAAAAGCCAAAATTGAGTTGTAGTCTTGTTGTTCGCCGCCTCGACGCATTCCCTTCTCTCCCCGGCATCGTCCCACACAGAAAGAAAGAGTGCAGAGCCCCGGCCCGACCTGTGAGCCTTTTTTTTCATGCTTTTCCCGGAGGTCTGGAGAAAGCTACAATCAATAGGATTTTCTTAATCCTCCCTTCCCGAAAGTAGCAACAATAATCAATTTTAGCTCGAATCGTTTGTAGAGGCTTTACACTTTGGTTGAGGTGCGGAGAGACTCCTCTAATTTGAACTTGACAAGTTATTTGAGTTTTCAAAAAATGTTTTGAATATTATGGAAAAAAAAGTTAGCTCGATAAATAAGATAGAGATCACCCACTGGTTGATGAGAAAGCATAATCTGGTGGAAAAGGGCCACTTACCTTACTAGATAGGGGGGGACACGGCTGTCAAACATCAGAGCAAGAGCCGTATCTCTGATATGTGTCTATGCTTCCTTTCCTTTCTGCGACCCCATTTTAAAGGCCAATCCGAGGAAATAGAATCGAATAATCTACCAGATTTTTTCTTCCTGTTGATTCCGCCCGACAATCAAGCTGCACTTCCCACAACCCCTACAC